TATAATGGTTGCCGTGTCCCCGGGGTCATGCGACCATCTTTTGTGACCTTTTGATAAGCAAAGTCAACAGGGGAGTCATATTCACTTAACAATATGGTAGTAACTTAACAATTGCAGTGTTTCACTTAACAATTGTTGCAGGAAAGGAAGAAATAATGACTGGAATAGAGTAGAGCAGAGTACAGTAGAGTAGAACAGAGTAGAGTAGAGTAGAGTAGAAGAGAACAATTCTTTAGTAAAAATCACAAGAGGGCACTATTATCCAGCATATGACTTTAGACTAATTAAATCAATGAATCATTATGGTTTTTTCAGTCCTTGTTGTCTTTTGCAAAAGTTTCTACTACTTAAACAATAACTAAGTCCTGACTAGAGGCATTTTTGCACCTGCAGTGTTCCCACTTCCAAACATTAACCAAGAAAAGTAAATCTGGTCCCAATCCTCCTATTTGCACCTTGTCAAAACCCACTGAACATTATAAGGTCTCTAAGATTAGTGAGTTTCTGAGCATAGATTAATCCTCAGGTGAACGGCCGTAATCACCTACTTCTCAGCTGCTTAAATCCAAAAGTCTTTTGGAACTCAGCCTAGTCTAGATGCAGCCTGACCTAAAGAGAGCTGAAAACTCTCTGCAAGATCCAGGTGTCTAAGTAATCCTCCACTGGAAGATGTGAAGCATCAGCAGTCAGACAGAGCTGATAGCAATAGCACTTAGACTTATATACTGCTTCTTGGTGCTTTACAGCCCTCTTTTAAGCGGTTTACAGAGTCAGCTTGTTGCCCGCAACAATCTGGGTCCTCATTTTACTCACCTCAAAAGGATGGAAGGCTGAGTCAACCTTGAGTCCATCAGGATCGAACTGCAGGCAGTCAGCAGAGTTAGCCTGCAATATTGCATTTTAACCACTAGGTGAAGGTAAAGTTTGCCCTCACACATATGCGTTAGTCATTTCCGGCTCTAGGGGGAGGTGCTCATCTCCATTCCAGAGCCGAAGAGCCAGCGCTGTCCGAAGACGTCTCCGTGGTCATGTGGCCGGCATGACTAAATGCTGAAGGCGCAAGGAACGCTGTTACCTTCCCACCAAAGTGGCCCCTATTGTCCTACTTGCATTTTTACCTGTTTTCGAACTGCTAGGTTGGCAGAAACTGGGACAAGGAACAGGAGCTCACTCTGTTATGCGGTGCTAGGGATTCGAAGCATTGAACTGCCGGCCTTTCTGATAGACAAGCTCAGCGTCTTAGCCACTGAGCCACATGTCCCTATTTTAATCACTATGCCACCAAAATTCTTTCTTTTCTTGTCATATATTTCACTTCTGTCCATTGCTCCCTGTCTGCAGGAAAAGGAGTAGCCGAACCTGGAAATGGAATCAAAAGAGGAATCAGCCTAGAGCGAGGGTCCCCATTATCCAGGCCACAGCCTGGTCCTGGGCTGCAGCCCAATCAGAACCAGGCTGCACAAGCCAAGGGCAAGCTTGCTCATGCAACTCTTTTTCCACCAGCAGTGGGTGCTCGCATTTACGCATAAAGCTCCTTTTAAATATATAGCTCTTTTTGAAAATACTTAGCATGAAAAATCAGAGGTTGTGGTTTACTGCAAGTAAGAGGAAAAATGTGGATGAAATAATTACATCAAGGCAAACAAAGAGATAATGATAATCAAAGTTTGCAAAGAAAACGTGCTAAAATGGCAGACACAAAACAGGACCATGACAATGAACAAGTCAAAAAACTGGTTGAAAATTGAAGAAGTAAGTAAAGCATAGTGTGCTCCAGAAGTGGGATTCAGCCGGTTCTGATTAATTCTGGAGAACTGGTAGCGGAGATTTTGAGTAGTTCAGAGAACCGGCAAATCCCACCTCTGACTGGCCCCGCCAACCCCATCTATTCTCTGCCTCCCATTGAGTCCCAGCTGATCGGCTGGGTCTTGTTTTGTTGCCCTGCCCAGGAGAATGGAGCTGGAAAGCAGGTTAGTGGATTGGGCAGGAATGGGGATTTTGCAGTAACCTTCCCCTGCCATGCCATGCCAAGCCAAGCCATGCCCACCAAACCACGCCCACAGAACCAGTAGTAAAAAAAAATGAATCCCACCACTGGACTTGGTATGTAAAAAAAAAAATGAAAACAAAGTGGGCAAGACCAGGAATTGACAATAGCTATAAGGAAGGGAACAGATGGGTTAATTTCTGCAGTGTAAGAAAAAGCAATGCCAAAAATGTTATGAAATCAAGGATTCATCAGCAGCACAGGCAGATTTTTTTTGGTTTATTTGTTTTGGTAAAAGAGGATGAAATGAGGATTTTGTCATGAGTGGATGAAACGGAGGCTGATTATAAACAGTGACATGGCTGGATAGCCATGATGACTTACTGGCATTCGTGCTCAAGCTATCATTTCCTGAATGTGGTACATTGCTACAGTAAATTTGTGGAAAACAATGTTAACATTTCCTGGAGTTACTATGTACAAACAGATGGTTACTTAGAATACAACAACACACCAAAAATATACCCTTACAGTTATTGGTACATTCAGCAGAATAACAGAGACACATTTTAAACAAACTAAATATTTGCTTATTGCCAACTGCAGATTGGCCGAAATAACCCTCTCCAAAACCCCTCATTTTGGTGGCATCTCTTATATCTTACGGGGCTGCGATGACTCAGTGGTTAAAGATGCTGAACTTGTCAGCTGGAAAGCTGACAGCCCAGGTTTGAGATCTGAGCACCATGTGGCGGGGTGAGTTCCCGTTCCTTGCTCCAGCTCCTGCCCATTTAGCAGTTCAAAGAACGCAAATGCAAGTAGATAAATAGATACTACTTCCGTGGGAAGGTAACGGAGTTCCTCGGGAAACATTGGCTCCCTCAGTTGTTGTTAAACCAGCAGCATCCAGATTACTTGTTCCTGTATTCCTTCCCTTAAATAATCAAATCAGATCAAATCAAAGTCTCCTAAATGTTGCTTTTTAATCCAGTTCTCAGTTGACATTTATTGCATACATGGTTCATTTAATATGCATTTAAATTTAAATGAATTAAAATTTATTTAAGATTGCATAAAGCAGCTAATAGCAAGGTCTTTCTAAAACTAATAGAACATTTAACTATAAATAAGAGATAAGAAGGGCTAGAAAGAATTTATTCTCGCTTTTCCATCCAAGCAATCTCCAAATGTTGGCCTATTGATTATTTGATTCATAAAAACTTTTAAAAAAAATATCTGACAGATTCTTGAGGTCTTCAGACAATGGCCTAACCTCAGGGTTATATCTAATCTAGAGCAGTGGTTGCCAACCAGTGGGCCGGGGACCAGTGGTGATCTGCGATAAAATTTTGGTGATCCGCAGAGAAATGTCTTCCCCAATGCAATTAATCCAGGCTGCGCAGGAACACAAAGCTTGTGTCACTTGCATTGCGAACCTGAGGTAGTGAGGGGAGGGGGGAAAGGGCAGGGGGGGGGGACTTGCCTCACTCACCCCACGCACCTTGCCTGGCCACCGGGCTGCTTCTTTCCGCTTCTTTCTTCTTCTGTTTTTGGCTGCAAGCACAAAAAGTAGCAAAAGTCTTTCTTTCTCTGCCCCGAACTCCTCCAGAAATGAGTCTTTGGGACCCTGGAAGGCCTCCTGCTCCAAGAGGCTGCATTGGTGTGACAAGTCTCACAAAGACTCATTTCTGGTGGAGTTTGGGGGAGAGAAAGAAAGACTTCTGCTGCTTCTGCTGCTTTCTTTGCATGAAGCCAAAAGTCTCTCTTTCTCTCTCTCTCTCTCTCTCTGAGAACGGAGCTGAAGACAGTAAAGAATGATCGATCAGTAGGAAAACGGGGTGGGGAATTTTCCTGAAGACTTTTGGGGGGGATTTCCCTGGGGTCTCTGGTCAACAGGATTCAAAATTATGAGTTTGGTGGACCCTGAGGTCCAAAAGATTGGCGACCCCTGATTTAGAGGACACCTAGTTTAGGAACTGTGAACGGGGAATTGCTCATGATTGCACCTGTCTTGCTCCATTTTCGGAGTTCCAGCAAAATTCATTTCACATATTCCGCAGTAACAAGTAGTCCTTGATTTTTGACCACAACTGAGCTCAGAATTTTGGTTTTTAAGCAAGGCAATAGTTAAGCGAATTTTGCTCCGTTCTATTATCTTTCTTGACACAGTTGTATAAGTGAATCACTGCAGTTGTTAAGTGAGTAACATAGTGATTAAGTGAATCTGGCTTCCCCGTTGACTTTTCTTGTCAGGACGGTCGCAAAACATGACCCGAGAACATTGCAATCACCCTAAATATGAGTCAATAGCCGAGTCGAGTCAGTTTCCAGAGAGAGGGAACAACCCAGTGGCGGGATTCAAACGTTTTTACTACCGGTTCTGTGGGCGTGGCTTGGTGGGCATGGCAGGGGAAGGATACTGTAAAATCACCAGTCAGAGGTGGGATTTGCTGGTTCTCTGAACTACTCCAAATTTCCGCTACTGGTTCTCCAGAATTGGTCAGAACCTGCTGAATACCAGCTCGGATGTACCCAGGTGGTGGGTATGGAAATTAAGAATCTGTTAGAGAAGGTCTTCCTTTGGTAGCTCAAAATCTTCTCATTCTTTTAGTGAACGTCTAAGGAGATTCTCAGTCATCCAGGTTGTGGTTATCCTTCAGGTGCTTTTCCAAAAGGCAATTGGACTTCCTAGGACTTTTTCCATGAAAACATTTTGTTTCTCATCCATGAACTGAAGAAGCTTCTTGGATGAGAAGCGAGACATTTTCAAGGGGAAAAAAAAAACACCCGAAAAGTCCAGGTGCCTTTGGGAAAGCACCTTTGGGCTCAGAGGTGGTCTTCAGCAGGTTCTGACCAGTTCTGGAGAACCGGTAGCAGAAATTCTGAGTAGTTCGGGGAACCGGCAAATCCCAACTATGACTGGCCCCTCCCCCATCTCTTCTCTGCCTCTCATCGAGTCCCAGCTGATCGACTGGGTCTTCTTTGGTTGCCCTGCACAGGAGAACAGAGCTGGAAAGCAGGTTAGTGGGGTAGGGAGGGAATGGGGATTTTGCAGTATCCTTCCCCTGCCATGCCCCCCAAGCCATGCCATGCCCACCAAGCCATGCCCACAGAACCGGTAGTAGAAACTTTTTGAACCGCACCACTGCTTTGGCTCCTTCTTTTAGCCTTTTGTGCAAAATGAAGCAGGAAGCATTGAAGGTCCCAGACTCAGTGGCAATTAGTAGTGTTGTTCTTCGTAACTACTGTATCTTAACTTTGGAAGAAGCAGCCCTTGGCACCATCGTCAGAATCAAGATCAGGGTAGCATCATGTACATTCCCAGAGTGAAGACAAGGCTCTTGAGTAGCCCCATGCAAATCAATCTACAGGAATTGTTCCTTGGTGAAGCTGGAGGTCTCAGCTGTAGGCGACAGTCTTGATCCACCTGTTCAAGTGGGATTTCTACTTCACTTGCCTTCTCTTGCAAGCTCTTCTTCACCTAGGGAAGTTCAGAGTTAGGGCCAAACTCACAAATCCCTTTGCATAAAATACAAACATCTGAAGCCACATTTATGACCTTTGTGTACCACCCATCTCACTCTTTGGGACCAGTCTAGGCTCACGCCAAGCTGGTTGCCATCCTTGAACCAAGAGAAGTAGCATTTTATGGTGTGTGTCATCAGCAATTAATATTGCTTAAAGAGCAAAGCTAAGAATCTAATGCCATAGAATGAGAAGCTCTTACATTTTCTACTTCTTTGAAAACACGAAGAAAGTTCTCCCTCAGAACGCCACGAAGTTCCTCCTTGGTCCAGCCTCTCCTCAGCAGTTCTTCAATTAAGTTTGGATATTTTGAGACATCTTCCAGCCCCTTAGGAAATCTGTCAGTCAAGACATGAGTGGCACAATCTAAACGTCTATTTGTTAGCAAAACCACAGCCAGATTAGGAAGTAAGAAAATTCATTGTCAGCTTTTGCCTCTAGTAAAATGGCTGCTTATGAGAGACTCACAAACATTCTATAAATGTATTTTTAAAGAAAGGAACTGGTCAATTCCAATATTTTTATCCAATTGCACCTTGTGTGTGTGTGTGTGTGTGTGTGTGTGTGTGTGTGTTTTTAATAGAATGGTTTGTCAGATCTAAATGATTTTTGATAAGGTTAGGATAAATATAAAGGGTCCCTTTTGGATAGAGCAAGGTTATTTTCACAGATATTTAAAAATCTGCAAAACATTCTCAAACCATAAAACTACCATTCATGTAATGATTTTCCTGAAAAGACTTGTGTCAATGCTATGACTAGCCCACTTCTCCGTATCTTCCCTGTGGAGGGGAAGGACAAAATATATTTTCCCGGATAGAAAAAATACCAAAAGTAGTAGGTGAATTTTAATTTGAGGCTGGTGATAGGACAAAGAACGTCACAGTCAGTGGTGGGATTCAAATAATTTAGCAACCAGTTCTCTGTTCTAATGATTCCTTCCAAAAACCACTTCACCAAACTGCTCAGAAAGTTAACAACTGATTCTCTCGAACGGATGCGAACTGGCTGAATTCCACCACAGGTCACAGTCAATAGTTGATTGTCATACATGCGCACTTCTGCTTAGCTATGACCCATTGTTTATTCAGAAGGGTGCCAGCATGTACCACAAAACTTGCTATTTAATTTAAGAATGCAGTAGTGCTGGCTACTTTTGCTGACTGCTGACTGCCAGCAGTTTGGAAGGTTGATTTTCACCAGCTCAAGGTTAATTCAGCCTTCCGAGGTGGGTAAAATGAGGACCCAGATTGTTGGGGGCAAGAGGCCAAATCTATAAACTGCTTAGAGAGGCTGTAAAGCACTGTGAAGCGGTATATATATCTAAGTGCTATTGCTACCTACCTCCTTAACAGAACAGCTGTTATAGCCAACCAACAGAATGAAAGCTTTCTTCTATCAAAAGATCCTCTGGAATTTTGTAGCTTAAATTTGCTGGTCCTATTTTTTGCCCTGCTGGGTTAAAACTCTTTCCAAGCTTCACGGCATATGAGAAATTGGGATAGACCACTAGGCCAAACAGCCAATGCAAGGCAACCCGCAGGCTCAGAAGGATGGGGAGAGGTCAGAGAGCATCTGCTTTCTAAAATGAGGAGCTCATTGCTCGTAATTGTCAGGCTAAATCAAGCACACACATCAACTTTGAAGCCTGATGTTATAACATGTAGCTGCAGCTGGTGGTAATGGAGAAATGCATTAGGAAATGCTCAAGCAAGCCAAATGACTCTCTGTAAAGGAAGTAAAAGGATTTTTAGCTCACCCTCTTTAAAAATAACTTTGAAGCCCTTGATGATCTCTCAGTTTGGTTGTTTGTGTGTAGATGTTTCATTACCCAACTAGATATCATCAGGGGTGGGATTCAAATTTTTAACAACCGGTTCTGTGGGTGTGGCTTAGGTGGTGGATGTGACTGGGTGGATGTGGCTTGGTGGCCATGTTATTGGCTGGGCGTAGCCAACTCAATATCACTCACGTTGAGGCACGCATCTCCTTGCCTGACCTCTCATGCCTGTGGGGATGCTGCAACAGTTGTAAGTGTGAAAAATGGTCATAAGTCACTTTTTTCAGTGCCATTGTAACTTTGAATGGTCACTCCACACAAGCAAAGTACCAGCAAAGGAGAGGAAAAAAACTCCAGAGATGTTCCTGAGACAGGAAGTCTAGTCCTACCAAGAATGTAATAAGGGTTAATGGAGAGGTAGTTTCTGTAAGCAACACCAGAATGTTTCCTTCCTGACTTCCTTACAGGATTAGGCCAGTAATTTCTTCTAACAACCAGTTCTCTGAACTGCTTAGAATGTTAACAAACAGTTCTAGCAAATAGGTGCGAACTGGTAGAATCCCACCTCTGGATATTATCCTCAGTGCTAGCCTGTGTAGACTTTGCTCCTTGTTTATATACTTACAGTAACTTGACCTGCCACCAGTGTTGGGCTATGTATGTGTTTTCTGCTTGATTGGGAGATTGTTTTCTGCATGGTACCTACTTGTTTAGGATATTATGTACTCCTTAAACAAGGAAGTACCACAATCCCAGCAACAGTGGCAGGACAAGCTACTGTATATAAACAGAGCGCAAACATCATGCTCACTAGCACTGAATGTGCTGCCTAGTTGGACAATGAAACATCTGCAAGCAAACAGCCAAGCTCAGAGAGCACCAAGGCCCCCACTGAAGAAGCTTCCTGGATGAGAAGTGAAACACCTTCAAGGAAAAATCAGGTCCAGTTGCCTTTTGAAAAAGCACTTTGGGACAAGCATGACCTGGGTGACTAAGAATCTCCAAAGATATCAAGGACTCCACAGTTCAACTTTGAGTTGCACGTATTTCCTTCTGATTATGTAACTTTGCTTAAAGAATCAAAGAGATAACAGATATTCTGAATTCTTTTGGGGACTGAAGATTTCATTGGGCTTGGCACACTAGGAGGTGAAATTTCTAAAAATGGATGGCACCAGGAGAAAGCAGCTGGTTTTTCAAGTGTAATTTCACTTAATTTTGATGAAAAGGATATCAGTTTAGTATAATCATCAAACTAAAAATATTAAATCTTCTTGGGGATACTAAAAGTGGCAGTTTGGAGCACCTCTTTAAGGTTTCCATACATTTGTGAAATACCTGATAACAAGGTGCAGAAAAGTTCAAAGGTGACTCATTTTGGATATAAAATGTTCCGTTTCCCTTTCAAAAGAATGGTTTTGCTTTTGAATTGGACTGATTCAAATGTTGTTTAAGGTCTTCGGGGCTCAGAAAACAGAATTATTTTGAGTTCAAAACACTTCTCAAAGTGTTGGATATGAATTACATTTCAAACTCTAATAATTTGAAAGGGAAATGTTTTGCACACCACCAAACAATACTGTATCCACTTACTAACCGAAATTCTCCATCATAGTCACCGCCAATTCCTATTGAAACCGAACCTGCAATTTTCTTTATGTGGTCAAAATGATCTGGAATTTTATTCAACAACAAAAAAAGAAGACAAAGAGATAGCATCAGAACCTGGCATCGACAAAGGGGAAATACTTCTAGGAGTCAAGCGGGCAGAGTTGGAAGGTGGAGTAAAACATCTCATCAGTTCTGAGTCCTTATGTTGCCACAAATGATCCAACTCCAGCCCGTTTGTTGGTCCTAACACAGTGCCAATTTAGTCGACCAGATTCCTGTGTGTAGGCTTCAACAAATCGCTTCTGTTGCAACCTACGCAAATGGTGCTGAACCTTTGCACCTGACAATGCTTTATCCAAGTTCCCTCATTGACTTTACTTGTCAGAAACCAGCTGGGAAAGATGGCAAATGATGATCACATGACTTGGGGGTTGCTACAATCATCATAAATACCTATATCGATTGCTAAGCGCCCAAATCTGGGGCACATAACTTTGGAGATGCTGCAATGGTCTTAGGTGCATGGACTGGCTGTAGGTCACTTTTTTCAGTGCCCTTGTAACTTGGAACAGTTGCTGAATGAACAGTTGTAAATCAAGGACTACCCCTATATAGGGACAGCACAGTCAGGGCTGAGGTGCTGGGGATTCCCGGGGGGTTCAGGAGAGCCCCTAGCTAAGATTCAGTGCAGTTTGGACATCCCACTCCTGGCTGGCTCCGCCCACCCCTCCTCTCCCCTCCCCGGAGTCCCCATGTGGCCCATTTTGGATGCAGGTAAGTACAGGGCACGCACAGAAGTTTGGGGAGGATGAAAAATGGGCCTTCCAGAGATTCGAGAAGGGCAGAAATGGGTGCATTCCCGGTTTCCAGAAAGCCTCCGGAATCCAGGGAGGCCATTTTCATCCTCCTGGAGGCTTGAGTAAAGCCTCCAGAGCCCAGGGAGGGCAAAAACAACCCCCCCACCCGCCACCATGGTGCAGGAGGCCAATTAGGCCACGCCCACCATGGCCACACCCACCCAGCAACTGGGCAGAGAACCCTTTGCTAAAAATTTTTTGAAGCCCACCCCAGAGCACAATGTTTGCAAACCTGCAACAGTTGAAATGTTAACTGTATTAATGTCATGAGCAAAAAACTTCGCAGGGAATGTCACCATTATAATTCCATGGTTCTGTTTCTAAAACAAAGGAAAGATTAAATAAGTCAAACATCCCGTTCCGAGGTCTGTGCAATGCTTCAGATTTGATGCCCCCAAATTGTTTTGGGTACAAATATAGCAACTGTCTGGAAATTCTTTAAAATAGTGGGGTCACTTTTCAAGAAATTTTCTACGGGAAAATAAAAATAGGTCCTCGTCAAGGGAAGATATCTGGAATGGGACCCACTGCAAAATCAGCATTAGGCCACACAGAGCCCACAACCAATTCATGTACTATGGAAGTCTCTCTTGATGCCTATCAAGGATGCCCCAACTCATCAGAGAAGTAGTATGTTGCAAAACAAACCACTTCTCTCTACCACAAGACTGGACACCCTTAACACTTCTGAACTTCAATTCTGGCTGGCTAGGGAATTTTTGGAAATGAATCAAGTTTGGAGGCCCCAGATCTTCCATCAGCCATCGTTCTAGGGATGCCTTTTGATCTTACAACAACCTTGGGCATTATCTGAAATTAGAAAGACCAAGTGGTTGTAACCCAATGTTTTGTTTGACAATAGGCAACTTAGGGGACCAGGAATAATTGAAGTCCAGGACTTTAAAGCGTTGAGGGAGATGTTCCTTTAGTGCATAATGATCTGGAAAAGAATACTCACAAGCTTAAGGAGAATATCATCTGGAACGTTCCTGGAGTTGTGGTAGACAGCATAGGCAGAAGAATGGCTGAAAATGACAGGTGCTTTGGAGACCCTGAGAACATTTTTTGCTGTCTCATGAGACGTGTGAGATAGGTCTACCATCATTCCCAGGCGGTTCATCTCCTTCACCACTTCCTGGAGAAAATACAGTAGATATTGTGGTACACTGACAAAGAGACACTCTCTCACACAAAGCTGGGATCCTAACCATCCTTCCCAAAATCATAGCAAAATATTCATTTCTTGAGTGCCATTCAAATGTTTTCTTCCCATCAAAACACCTCCAATTCCAGCCTTCCATTTTCTTGTTGGGAAGAAATTCTACAGCTATTCAGCACGTCCAATCAAGATGGTCAGGACTGGCATGTTCTCCCATGTGCAGATCTTCCACAAGAAGAAATGCTGAAGAAATCAAATGTTTGGATGTTTGGAAATCAAATGAATGTCTGGAAGCTGGAAAGTTGGGGGAAGACGGAGTTAGAATAAAGGTTGCTAAGGGGTGTGGAAGAAATTGGGGGAAGAATAATTGGCAAAAAGAATAGAAGAAGAAAGAAGGAAGAATTTATCTTTAACTCAACTCAACGTAAGAGTGGGCTTAGTGTTTCTTCAAATAACAATGAAATAAATTGTAAGCCTAACAACAGGAACGGCTTCATATTAATGAGATTTTTGGATCTCTTTTGGTTAAAGAGAAGAATAAAAATGCTTCCTAGATATAAATGGAATGGGATGGGCAGTATTATTAAGTCCAGATAACTCTGCAACCAATGCCTCAATAATGTATTTATTTCTCAATTAAAATCTTTTATATCCTGCCTTTCTCCAAGGAGATTTTCACTGAATAGGAAGAATTCTTCAGAGCTGGAGTGTCCAACGTTGGCAGCTTTAAGACCCGTGGACTTCAACTCCCAGAATTACCCAGCCAACCAATGGACCACCAAACAAATGAATTGAGAAGTCTCACTTGAGGGACAAGTGACCAGGCTCACACTATGTGAAGTAGACATTATTTCAGACCTATTATGCCAAGGCCTAGCTCTCTGGAGAAGGCTTTGATGCTGGCATAGGTGGAAGGAAAGAGAAGAAGAGGACAATTGGCAGTAATGTCAATGACAGGTGCACTGTTGGAAGTTTTGAAGAACGATTATGGACAGATCTTTGTGGAGATGATCTATTTATGTACTCTCTAAGAGTCAACAACTTGATTGCATATACACAGGGGTGGGATTCGGGCAGTTTGGACCGGTTTGAGCAAACTGGATGTTAAATTTACATCTGGTTCACCAAACTAGTAGTTGAATTGACTGCTCACCTTTCCCCTCTCTTTTCAGGGGTCTCCACATGGCCTGTTTTGGATGCAAGTAAGGACAGGGCCCACACAGAGGCTCTGGGAGGAGGGGGGAACAGGCCTTCCGGAAGTGTGGAAACAGGCCTGTTTCCAGCTTCTGTATCCCAGGGGAGGCCATTTTTGCCCTCCCAGAGGCTCAAGGAAAGCCTCCGGACCCCGAAGAAGGTGAAAAATGGTGCTACCAGAAATTCCAGTAAGCCACTTACACCATGACTATGCCCACCCAGCAACCGGGCAGCGAACCGGTTGCTGAGATGTTTGAATCCCACCCCTGCATATACACCACAATCTTCATCATAATTAAATGCTGTTTATGGTGGATTCTCATCAAGATACCCTTGTAGATTAATTCCCAGATCTCCCTCACATAAGAGAATGTCAGAGGGACAATATCAGTTCAAATCACTTGCTAAGTTACACTTAAAACTTTCTCTTACAAAGCCAAAAGGAGTCAAGCCTTTAACACCAGGATAGAAATCATATTTGCCTCTCGTCGATGTTTCGGCCCTAAAAATAAACAAAAATAAGCACTTTCACTCAAATGAAAGGTTGGAAGGTATTCAAATCAAAGGTTGGAAACGTGTCATGAAAATATTCCAATGCTTAAACAGGAATTTTAACATGTCTATGAAGATTCTCAGTCCTACAGATCATGCTTGTCCCAAAGATTCTTTTTTCAAGAGACAACTGGACTTTCTATTTTTTTTTCTTTGAAGACGTTTCGCTTCTCATCCAAGAAGCTTCTTCAGCTCTGAATTTTAACAGTACTATACTCAGGAATTTTAACAGTATTCTTAAATGTACCGTACAAATAAAAGAGTCATATTTATTAATCATGTTTTTGTGTAATCCTTCCTCCAATAAATTCCGGTCTTCATCCATTTAATTTATCTAAAATATGATTGTACCTGATTTTATGACTTCTTCTTTTTTTGCCAAAAAACCACTGGAGTTGTTACGTGAATAACCAACTCATTAAGAGAATCCAACTTCCTCTATTATTTATCTGTTTAATTTTATTTTTCACGATTTTTGAAAACCACCTCCCATTTCCCTCTACCACACTTTATTTGTCGAAAGCCAACTGGGAAAGTCCTAAATCATGATCAAGTAATCCTAGGGACACTGCCATCAATTGTTAATATATATAAAAGCAAAATACCACTCACACATCATCACAAAATCTCCAGAACCATAAAGCCTACAAACTTGAAATTTGGTTCCTCTTGGCTTCTAAGTGCTCACTAAGAAAGGATTTTTCAAAATGACCATCAGAGCATTAGTATTTGGTATATTATTATTAACACGCTCTGATGCTAAGGAGTTCTACTCCCCTTCCCCACCTGAAAAGAAATCTCTTCCAAATGCAAAAGACAAGCAGAGGAGAGGAGTTTCGGTTTTAGTTTCACAGCAGCTTTAGTACAGAACAGTTCAGCTAAGCCATGCCCAGGCTCCTTGCTATCTCCTTCTTGTTCACACAGCAAATACTGCTTCAGTTTCCAAACAGCCCTCAACTCTCTCACATACTGGCAGCACACTAGCCAGATGAATACTAATGGATGCTGGTAGGCAGAGGCACAATTTACCCCCCTTATTTTCCTCCCCCAAAACTAAGCCCGATCACATAGTTTCATAGCGAAGCATGGTTATAGAGCTAGTTGTTAATAGATGCTGGTTGCCAAGGGTCCAAATTTTGATTGTGTGATTGTGAGGATGTTATGACATTCACAAGTGCGAGAACTGGCCATACATCACATTTTTAGTGCCGTTGTAACTTTGAATGATCCCTAAATGAATGGTTGTAAGTCAGAGACTACCTGCAATTCATAGTCTTAAACTATACAAACATATTATTTAAAGCAACAGCGGCAGCTGTCATAACAACCCATCTCTGAAACATTTGTCTGTGAATTACCAGGGAGTGTTGCACATATGCGTCAAAGTCATGTAGCGAACCCCCAGATCGTAGAACATCCTCAAGGTGGCCAGACTGCTATCAATGGAATGACCACCTTCAATGCCAATCAAGCATCCTATCTTAGTGTGGCTAAGATTCTCAATGCCTGGAGTTGAAACAGAAAGAGCACATTCTAGTTTAAAAGACAGATCATCAGAAGAAACCCATAGTTTAAAGCTGGTGTGGCCATCCTGGGCAGCTTTAAGACTTATGGACTTCTCAACTCCCAGAATTCCCCAGCCAGGGAGCTGGGGTATTTTGGGAGTTGAAGTCCACAACTCTTATGCCCCCCACCCCCCCAATCAAAGTCTGAATCCAAGGAGGAAGACGAACAGCTGACAGGGAGCAGGAGAGTGTGGCTGTGGAGGAAACGGGAAGGTCAAAGTCAGGCTGGGCAGAGCAGAGATGAGGTAGAACACGGGAGAAGGGGTTCAGATGAAGACCAAGGCTCACCCCCTCCTCATCCTAGGGTGCACAGGGAGGAACAGAGAAGAGAGCAATGTGGGTTGCGTGGCTTATGAGGGAGGAGAGGGCCCTGATTCCCTTCACAAGGCACACCTGGAGATAGAGTTTAAAGGAGAACCAGTTGGGGTGAGCGTTTGTCGGAAACAAACATTGAGTTTATCTCATGTTGGCTGCTATTATCTTAGTTCCTGGCATCCTCCCAACAGGTTTGATTTACTGCCATGTTATTTTACTTCTGGAACTCCTTCTCTTGCCCTGCCAGATTGATTACCTTATTTTGCCTTGTTGGATTTATAATTTAAATTTTTCTGTTTACAACATTTGGATTGGGATATCTGCAGCCAAGGGCTGTTGCAGGTTCGTGGGAGAGTTTTTGTTCCAGACCGGAAGGTAACTGGAACATTGAGGGCAAAGTTGGAGCTAATAAAGGAACCCATACTTATTCTCTGGCTGAGTTGCCTTTGTGCCACGTCCCGGGTCATCACAACAATTCTTAAAGCTGCCAAGCTTGGACACTCCTCACTTAGAGGCTGTTTTACAGGCAGTCCTCGACGTTTGGCCACAACTGAGCCCAAAATTTCTGTTGCTAAGGGAGACACTTGCTAAGTGAGTTTTGCCTGATTTTACGAACTTTCTTGCTACGGTTGATGAGTGACTCACAGTGGTTGTTAAGTTAGCAACCCGGTTGTTAAGTGAATCTGGCTTCCCCCATTGACTTTGCTTGTCAGAAGTTCGCAAAAGGGGACTGCATGAGCCCAGAACACTGCAACCATCATAAATACACAGGAACCAGTTGCATGTGAATTTTGATCATGTCATCATGGGGGTTCAGTGTCGTTGTAATTGTGAACTGTTGTGAGTCAAGGACTACCTGTATAAAACCTAGCACAATTTCAACATACGCATGGCCCAGTAAGTATTGGTTGGAATGTAAGGCTGGATAAGAGGATATTCCACATCTCTGGAATTCCAACATGTCATATGGAAAAGGACCATAGGTAGAGTTGCTCTTCCTATCTACCCAGCATTCCTATCCTCCATGGCAGGGGTCACCAACCTTTTGGACCTCAGGAACCACTAAACTCATAATTTTAAATCCCGGGGACCACTAATATGAATTCTGACTGACAGTGGCTTGCTGATGTTGGTGGGAGAGAGGGGAGGGGAGAGAGGGGGGGAGGGAGGGAGAAATCTGATCTAACCCCTCTCTCTCCCTCTCCCCCCCCCTCTCACACACACACACACAAACACACAGAGGTAGGGGTGGGATTCAAATTTCTTAACAACTGGTTCTGTGGCAGTTGCCAAATTTGTGGGTGCGGTTTGGTGGTCATGTGACTGGCTGGGCATGGCTTGTATGTAAGTATTATAAATATTGATGTAAATATTGATTTTTTTTTCATAAAAAAGAGCCACTTTTACCCAATATCAGGCAAAGCAGGCAGGCAGGCTCAGTTGCTCACAGAATCACAGATTCACTCAGAGATCTATCTTTCTGCCATAGGCTACCTGAGTCTGTCGAATAAAATTGCTTGCAAGCAAACTCATAAAATTTGCTTGCAAGCAAACTCACAAAATTACTCACAACACACCATGTATGGAAATATTGAATTTTTTTATTTTAAAAAAATTGGCTACCTGAGTCTGCACTGAATAATAGAAGCTTCACTCCTAAGGAAGGTTCAGCTCTGCTTAAAAGCGGAACTGAAGATCTAAAGATTAGTTAGAAAGCAAGAAATACGATGGTTTCCTGCTTTCTAGCTAATCTAAATCTCCCAGCACGGCAGAACAGTTGATGGTCAGAGAAAAAAAAAAGGAAAAATAGCAACCTATCAGGCAAGTTTGCCGGGTAAGGGGTGAGAGGGCGGGGAGGATTTCCGCGGGCCAGGTGGGTGGCTCAGCCTTGTGTTCCTATGCAGCCTGGATTCATTGCTTTGGCGGGGGGGGTGCTCTGGGGTGTGTGTGACATTTTTCTGTGGCCCTGGGTCATCACAGCATGTTTCTTATCTCTTATATTTTTGCCTAAAGTTTCTTTCATTGAGCAAAGGAAGCAAAATTTACCCTCTGAAGATGTCAGCAATTCCAGCTCTTCATAGTCTTCACACATTCGTTTGACCACATCAATTTGTTCTAGTGTCAAACGTACAGCGTCTTTGTTCTGTGCACTGCAGATAACGTACACCGACCAAAACTGTGAAGGTTTAGAACAGAGGAGGAGGAATGAGTATAAACGATGTTTGTCACCTTGAGTTATTTACAAAAAGTAATAAAGGCAGGATAAAAATCGAACAAACCAGTAAAATAAAGATAGCAGCTGCTGCTATCAATTCAATACTTGGCTTCTTTGCATCATGTGAAACACCAAGTTTTTTCACCAATGCTGATGTAGAAAGTTAGCACTCACCCCTCTGCTAGAAGAATGAAACCGTTTGAGAAATATTAAAAGGGCAAAATATTATATTTCCCTGGATGATAAAAGAAGAAACATATTTTAAAGACAGAAAGCAGCTCCCTGCCTCCAGCATGATGGTGATATGAAAGACAGGGCCAGTCTATCTACAAGACAAAAGACCTCCAGCTCCAGGGTGATAGGATTAAGACGTGGCCCCCAGGACATAATAGGATGCAGCAGCCGCCAAAAAACCTAATGCAATCCTAAATTGTATTAACAGAGGGATACAATCAAGATCAAGGGAAGTACTAATACCACTCCATAAAGCCTTAGTAAGACCACACCTAGAGTACTGTATCCAGTTTTGGTCACCACATTATAAAAAAGATGTTGAGATTCTAGAAAAAGTACAGACAAGAGCAATCAAGATGATTAGGGGACTGGAGACTAAAACATATGAAGAATGGTTACAGGAACTGGGCATGGTGAGTCTAGTGAAGAGAAGAACCAGGGGAGACAGGAGAGCAATCTTCCAATATTTGAGGGGCTGCCACAGAGAGGAGGAAGGGGTCAAGCTATTTTCTAAAGTGCCTGTAGGCCAGACAAGGGAGAATGGATGGAAACTGAACAAGGAGAGATTTAACTTGGAAATAAGAAGAAACTTTCTGATTGTGAGAACAATCAACCCATGGAACAGAAGTTGCCCTCAAAAGTTGTGGGACGCCATCACTTGAGACTTTCAAGAAGAAACTGGACTGCCATTTGTCAGAAATGGTGTACGGCCTCCTGCTTGGGTGGGGGGAGATGACTTATAAGGTCCCTTCCAACTCTGATTATCTGTTATCTGTTAGAATTAACCCATCTAACAGCAGAGCTTATCACATGTCACAATCAACTGGGGACATTGCATCACCCAGCACATTTCAACCAAGCTGGCTTTGACAAACATGATTCCTACATGGTCCTATGGGAGTCTGACAACAATAGAACACATGTTCTTGCATAGGAACAGGAAGTTCAAGTGCAAAGCCCAAGAGAAGATATAAATACCCCCCACTCTCAACTCCATCTGGTCAGTTGCAAAAGAACCATGTGCTTGATGGTTCTGCTTCATCCTTAAACCATCTTTCGAATCCATGTTTCCAATGACTTTTTCCTGACTTGGAACTGAACCAGATGGATATTTCTTCTCACACTGACCAACCTCCATTCTGGCATGTATCTACTTCTTCCTGGCTTAGCTTGAAACTCAGGTAGCACTTACCTGCCCCCCAACATGGCCAGCTTGGAGCTTCTCGATGTTTGTGTTGGTATTGCTGAGTTTCTTCAAATCAATTGTGCTTAGCTTGTTCTGGTGAAACCATCTTAATTTCATGGGGAGATCGTTGTGTCTGAAAGATAAGACGGAGGATTGCCATCTTCCCTAAAGGCTGACCTAGGACTGAAGAGCTACTTTTTTCGGCACATGAAAATTTAATCTACTACAAGAAAGGGTTCTTTGAAAGGGTTGCAAACTGGACATTTTCCCCCCTCTTCCTAAACATTGAAGAAGTCATTTCTGATTAAAAGCTTTTCTTTCTCTCCCCCAAACTCCACCAGAAATGAGTCTTTGGGACCCTGCCAGACCTCATGCTCCAAGAGGCTGCGCCAGTGTGACAAGTCTCACAAAGACTCATTTCTGATGGAGTTTGGGGGAAAGAAAGAAAGACTTCTGCAGCTTCTGCTGCTTTCCTTGCATGAAACCAAAAGTCTCTCTCTCTCTCCCTCACCCTGAGAATGGAGCTGAAGATAGTATCCTGCAATCCCAAATAATGAATGATTGATTGGTAGGAAAACGGGGTGTGGAATTTTCCGGCAGATTTTTTGGGGAGGGATTTTCCCAGGGTCTCTGGTCTGCGGGATTTAAAATTATGAGTTTGGTGGTCCCTGATGTCCAAGAGGGTTGGTGACCCCTGACCTAAAACAAGAAATGGGGAAAGACAGGAGAGAAATCATTTTGAAGTGTGCTCTGATGCTTGAAGGGTTGATTATAGAAAAGTCAAGGACACCGTTCTGAAAATAACGATCATCTGAGATGCTCTTTTATATAGACTGAGAAATTTTGGAGTAGTAGAAATGGGACGCTCCAGAGACAGAGCTTAAAGTTGTCTTAATTAGCAGAATACGTTGTTGTTGTGCCTTTACGCTAGTCTTTATTCCAGGCTGGAAAAGGTCCCTGTAGTTTTCTTTGCAAGTTTTTTTTCCAGAAATAGTTTGCCATTCCTTCCTTCCTAGGGCTGAGAGAAAGTGACTGGTCCAAGGCCATCCAGTTGGCTTTGTGTCTAGAACTCACAGTCCCCTGGTTTTTGCTTGGTACCTTCCCCAGTACTCCAAACTGGCTCTCAATACAATTATTGCCATTATATCACCTTGTGCAAACTGATCGACATGTGCAGCCTTCGGTAAAAGCCAAGCATTAAAGAAATTGAGTTTAGTGTAGCCAACTGAATAACCTCGGGTCAATCCCTCTCTCTCAGCCTTAGGGAGAAGCCCATGGCAATCCACTTCTGAAAAAGCTGCCAAGAAACTCCTAGACGTTGCAAGGAGTCCATATTTACTTACTACTTACTCAACACTGACTCAAAGATGGAAGGAGAGAAAACGAACAGAAAGTTATCAGAATACGTCAACCATAGGTGCTGTGCTCATCTCCATTTCAAGGCCATTGAGCCAGCTCTGTCTGAAAACATTTCCTTAGCCTTGTGGCTAGCATGACATCACGGAGCATAGTTACTTTCCCACTAGAGTGGTACTTATGAATCTGTTCGCATTTGCATGCTTTTGAACTGCGAGGCGAGCAGGAACTGGGGCAAGGAACTGGAGCTCATCCCATTGTGTGGTGCTCGAATTCTTGAATCTGGACTGCCAGCTTTCCAGCTGATGAGCCCAGTGTCTTAACCACTGAGCCACAATGATTCTGGTCAAATCATGGCTTTCCTGTTATATGCCTGCAAGGAAGGAAGGAAGTCCACATACCCATCGATAAGCCGAGATGCCGCCATGAGTTCAAGAACTTCAGTTCTCAAGCGTTCATCAGTAACTCTGGATCCCAAAATGTCCACAAACAGAAAGAGTAGTCCCAGAAGCATCTCCATCACTGGATCCCAAGGAAGTCCACAAGCTAAATGAGATGCCTCCAAATATATATATATATATATATATATATAATTTTGTTGGATGAAAAAGAGCACTGTTTTCTTCCAAGTTCAAAGAGACTCTTCAGGCAAAGGGTTTCAAACCCAGCGAAAAAAAGTAACCAGTCTCTGAAAACATTTACTCAATTGGCCCGCTGCTGACAAGGGAAGAAAAGAGAAGACTTCATGGGGACACTCTCTCTAATAGAAAAAAAAAAATGTTTCTCTCAGGCTTTTCAACACAGGGAGAGCTCATATCCCAAATAACATTACCGTATATACTCGAGTATAAGCTGAGCTTTTCAGCATATTTTTTGTGCTGAAAAAGCCCCCCTCAGCTTATACTCGAGCGAGCAGATCATGCAGTGCCAGGAATATGCTGATGCATGGTGTTTGGGGTGTCAGATGTACAGCACGCCGTGCCGCTCTTACCTATGCCTCCGCTGTATAGCCAGGTATGGAGCCCGCACTGGCTGCCTCGTAGCTCCGGTCTCCGGCTCAGCCTCTATCTATCGCTCACCCCCTTGCTACAAGTGCAGTGTTTTGCGCACAGGGAACGGGGCGACCTCTGATTGGAGGATTTACCAGCATCTGTATCATCAGCCCAGCGCAGATAACCAGCGAAACAGGTTCCAGAGACTTTAACAGTCTCCCGTTACCACAGTAAGCCGATGGATGTGAGCTTGCAGTATATTTTTCCTTTCATCATTCTTACAGGCTTAGCAGTTACTGAAATCCCATACAGCAATGGATGGATGTGTACAGCTAGAGCTTGCGAACAGAGAGCAAATAGAAGAAGTACCGGTACTGTAGCAGGCTTTCAACGCAGCACGGCCTAGTGCATGCGTACTGTTCAAAAGTTTTCAAAGTCTTTATTTTTTTTATCCTGTTAGAAATGGATCCCAATACTCCTAATCCTGGACCAAACCAAAAACGCAGGTCATACGAAACTGGTTTCAAACTTAAGGTTGTGTCAAGAGCAGAAGAGAGCAATAACAGTATCGCAAGCAGGGAATTTTGTGTTGACGAAAAACAAGTGAGGGACTGGCAGAAAATGAAAGCTGACTTGGAAAAGATTCCAAAGGCAAAAAAAAGCTCGACGTGGTTTAACGCCTTCATACGAAGCTCTAGAGACTGAATTGCATAAATGGGTTATGGAGTGTCGTCAAAATAGCTACTGCGTGACACGTATGGGAATTCGCTTACATGCCCTTCAAATGGCTAAAGATGACAAATTAAAAGCACCAGGCATTAAAAATTTTGTTGTGGTCAGCAGGATGGGGTACCCGCTTTATGAATAGACATGCCTTATGTTTGCGGCAAAGAACAAAGATTTCACAGAAGTTGCCAAAAGACCTTGAGGAGAAAGTGATGTCATTCCATTCATTCACCATAAAACAAAGAAGGATCCATAACTTTGACCTGGGAGATATTGGGAATATGGATGAAACACCTATGACCTTTGATCTTCCTAGCAACAGAACTGTGGCAAGTTTGGGAGAAAAAACTATTTTACTCAGAACCACAGGAAATGAAAAAAACCATTTCACAGTCGTTCTGTCATGTTTGGCTAATGGAACTAAGCTGCGGCCTGTCATGATTTTTAAAAGAAAGACCTTGCCTAAAAAGGTCAAATTCCCACCACGAATTACAGTGGGCGCACATATTAAAGGCTGGATGGATGAAGACGGAACAAAAAAATGGCTGGAAGAAATTTGGAATGGACATCCAGGAATAGTCTTAAAGAAAAAAACCATCATTGCTAGTTTGAGATATGTTCAGAGCCCACACATCTGATGACATAAAAAAATTGGCAAAGTCTTCTCAGGTTACTTTCGCCGTTATTCCAGGTGGGCTTACATCTGTATTGCAGCCCCTAGATGTGTGTTTAAACAAACCTTTCAAAGACCATGTGCGAAAAATGTGGCATGAATGGATGTCATCTGGTCAAGCCCGATTGACAAAAGTTGGAAATCTGATGAAGGTGGCATAGAATTAGTAGCAAAGTGGGTTCGTGATGCATGGGAAGAGATTCCAGAGGACACGGTGTAACGTGCCTTCAAGAAATGTGGCATTAATAATGGCAGTGAAGACAGCGCTTTGTATGAGGACGACAGCAGTGATGGTGATGACTGCGAACTCAGTGATGACAACAATGTCTATGCTGATAGCCTCACACCAGACAAAGTTGAAGCTCTGTTTGGACATACAGATGAGGAGGAGGAATCCAGTTTTGAAGGATTTTAACTCTTGTGTTTTAGCTTGGTTGCTGATTGAGCTAAGGTTTTTGTACTTTTAAAGTTATTGTTGATACCATATTGGTTTTGTTGACTCTCTTTTCCACTTACAGAGCTAGTTTACTGTTTTTCTTTGAAATAAATATTCAAAAACATCTAACCTACTGATGCCTCAATTAATGTAATTTTATTGGTATCTATTTTTATTTTTGAAATTTACCAGTAGCTGATGCATTTCCCACCCTAGGCTTATACTCGAGTCAATAAGTTTTCCCAGTTTTTTGTGGTAAAATTAGGTGCCTCGGCTTATATTCGGGTCGACTTATACTCGAATATATACGGTATATAGAAATCTCTTGGAATCTCTGCCACACAGAAAATGCACACTGACATCTTCCCAAAACTTTGCCAGAATAGATTTTTCTTCCTGAAAGCCAGATTTTTTTTTCTGGAACTCACTAATATTTACAACATGCAAAGCAAATAGATACATCAAAATGTCAAAGAAAGTCAACTTTAATTTTCATACATTTGAAGCCAGGATTGGTCAAGCGGGGCGGGGGAGGGGGGAGAATTTTTCTTTTTGGTTAAATATATCTTTCCCAAATCCACCCAAGCACACATGTGTATAAAGATCAGGGCTAAAAAAAGGCATTTGCTAACCCCAAAAAACATTTGTTTCATCTTAAAACAAAGAAAAGAAAGCAAAGCTTTCCCATATCAAAGGCAAGTTTCTTTCGTCACATAAGTTATTAAGATCCCCATCTCCGCAATTCCCAACCACACCATTGCTGAGGATTCTGGGCATCAAAATCCACATACAGGTAGTCCTTGACTTACAACAGTTCATTTAGCGACCGTTCAAAGTTACAATGTCACTGAAAAAAAATCTATGACCATTTTTCACACTTACAACATATTACAGCATCCTCTCAGTCACATGATCAAAATTCGGAGGCTTCGCAACTGGTTCATATTTATGACGGTTGCAGGGTCCCTGGGGGGTGGGGGTGGAGTGTCATATGATTCGCTTTTGCGACCCTCTGATGAGCAAAGTCAATGGGGAAGCCAGATTCACACAACAAGTGTGTGACTAATGTAACAACTGCAGTGATTCCCTTAACAACGATGACGAGAATGGTCGTAAAATGGAGCGAAACTCCAGAAGTGTTTTGTTTAGCAACATAAATTTGGGGCATCGGTTGTGGGGTGAAAGTCAAGGACTACGTGTATCTGAACCGTTCACAAGACCAAAAAGACCTGGGGATAATTTGCTTTTTTTGGGTGGCAAACCAGAACTTTCCTTAGCTGGAGTGAATTTGGTTGGGGAGCTCCAAAATGGGAGGATTTCTTCAATGGAGTCAGAGCAGTGGTTGTATTCGACCGGTTTGGCCTTGTTCTGCCGAGCCGGTAGCGGCGCTGAGCGGGCAGAGACAGAATCGCTTCTCTCCGCTGTTCTGCTGTTGGGCCCAGCCGCCCACCCGGGCTGCCATCTCACCTTTATCCTCTGAATTTGAAGCGCAGCGGCTTTGCGCGGCATAGAAGAGTGCCGCGCGGCAGCTGCTGAAGCGACCGGGATCGTGCAGGCTTGCAGGAGGCAAGTTAGAATGCCTCTGCGCCTGTGCAAAGCACGCGTTTGGTGCATGCACGCAAAGTGTTGCCACGCCCACCGGACCGGTGGTAAAAATATTTGAATCCCACCACCGAATCAGAGGACATTGTATTTGTAGAAAGCTAGATTAAAGAACAACGCCCCCAAAAGGAAAAATAAGAATGTGAAATCACCTTAGAACCCTTAAAGGGCGAACATCCTACAATGCTAGCTAACGGAGGAAAAGAAGCAATGCAAATGTGCAAGCAACAAAAATAGCTAAGAAATACAGATGATGCAACATGACTAAAAGCTATAAATGGAAAAGAGGGGGCGGGTGGGTGTGTTTAAATAATTTTGCCGTGCCATTAAATATGGATTTTCTCAGAAGACTGTTTCAGAGTTTAGGTAAGGGGATTGGTCAGAGGAAATATACCTTAAATAAATCATTTCTTCTAGAGCAGGCGTGTCAAACTCAAGGGTGGCTAGGTCTGGCCCACGGAGCCGGCTTGGAAACAGCAAAGGACCAGCCCACGGTGCCTCTGCCAGAAAAAAAACAGGCTGTGCAGAGCTGCACATGTCCCGCTCCCCACATGTTCCATTTTCACTGGCAGAGAGCTATCAAAACAAACTGGAGAAATATCTCCCCTTTTGCATTTGATCAAAAAGAGAAAAGGAAAAAGGAAAGACAAAGAAAAAGAAAAAGAAAGGAAGATGGGAAGAGAGCAAGGAAGGAAAAAGAAGGAAAGAAGGGAAGGAAGAAGAAAGGAGAATGAAGAGGGAAGGAAGGAAGGAAGGAAGGAAGGAAGGAAGGAAGGAAGGAAGGTAGGTTATAATGAGAGGGAAGGAGGGTCTCAGGGAAGTCCTGCCTTAGCACTTGGCCACCACAGGTGCCCCCCTGACATGAGTCCTGTGTCATACCTACCATGGCCATGCCCAACCTGGCCACACCCACTATGGCCTCGCCCACAGCTATGCCTCCCACTGTCCCTCAGAGCAACCATGATGTGGCCCTCAGTGAAATCAAGTTTGACATTCCTAGAGGAATTTTCTTACCATGTTTCTTCTGAGGGGTTTCAAGTCCCAACAGCGTCTCCCAGGTTCATTACCCTGTCTCTCAGCTGTCAATCTGTCCTCCAACTGTCTTTGAGATTACACTTCCCAGAATTGTCACCAAACAGCTGAAGGGCAGCAGAGTGAAGAAAGCCGCCACAATTCCTTGAAAGCAGATTACACAACGTGCATCTAAAACTGATTTCTGAACAGAAGACTGAAAGACTTGTAAAGACAGCAAAGATGGAGAGGGACTGGAAGTTGAGACATGCATAAAATGTGAATGAGATCCAGCTACATCTTTTAGCCATTTAAAAAGGGAAATATATAGGAAAATGGCTTAAACATGAGTTGAAATACTGTGGATATTGGCTCATGAAAAGCTTGCATTGTGATACACGTGTTAGTCCTGTAAGAATCACAACACCCTTTGCACAACTTTCTGCTGTGCTTTTTACAAAGGTTGGAATATTTACTTAGGCATCTATTTGGGATATGTTATTTATTTTTGGGAAAGACACTTGTTTTCTATCAATCAAAGGAGGCAGCAATATGTTTTACTATTGCAGAGAAGTTTGTGATCTTTACAATAATATGTAGAACTGGTTATATTTAGAGGAGTAATTTATTGGTAAACCAGGGCTATTGATAAGTATAAAATATACAGTTTTTTCCTTTTTAGTTTGTATTTTTAGAATGAGGTGGTCTCTTTTATTAATTTTGGTTTTTTTAGATTAAATATTATTTTGCATATGTATAAAAAAAATTGGAAAAAGAAAAATTAAAGTAAATGTGCATAAAACTGTGGAAAAAAGGCCTACATTGGAGATACTTTCCCATCTCTGCTCGATTTCTGTTAATGGAAAACCTGGAAAACTCAAAAGGAGTTATGCTAGCTATGTCAATCTGAGGCATCAAATGCACATAGGATTCTTGTAATACTTTTAACATATGTGTTATAACATAAATGTTTGTAGAATTTAAAGGAACTTCCTTAAAAGGCAAAACAGGCCAATGTTTCATCAGGGTTACAGGTCATCAGAAGAAAAAAAAAGACTATCTTTAATAGGAATTGTTGGAGGGCCTATATGACAAAAGTTTCCATCTGATTCTATTCTAAGTCCTGTACTCTGCTAAAACCTGGAAACATTCAGCTACACATTCTCAATCTTGAAGCTCTTCCAAAATAAAAGAGAGAGAGATTAAATCATACAATGAATAATTGAGAGATATAGAGATGTCTAGTCTAACGAAAAAGGACTGGGGGAGATACGATAGCAGCCTTCCAATACTTGGGCCTGGCAAAGAGAAAAGGGAGTCAAATTATTCAGGACAAAGAAGTAATGGGTGAAATATCATTTAAGAGAGATCCAACCTAGAACTAAGGAGAAATTTCCTGACAGGTAGAACAATTAATCAGTGGAACAATTCGCCTCCAGAAGTTATGGATGCTCCATCACTGGAGGTTTTTAAGATGACATGGGGCAGCCAGCTGTCTGAAATGGTAACAGATAACAGATAATCAGAGTTGGAAGGGACCTTATAGGTCATCTAGTCCAACCCCCACCCACCCAAGCAGGAGACCCTACACCATTTCTGACAAATGGCAGTCCAGTATAGTATATGATAGAGGGTTTCCTGCTCTAGCTATAAGTCAGACTAGAAGATCTCCAATGTCCCTTCCAACCAGCGGTTGGATTCAATTTTTTTCTATAGTTCTGTGGGCGTGGCTTGGTGGGCATAGCTTGGTGGGCGTGGCAGGGGAACGATACTGAAAAATCCCCATTCCCTCCCCACCCCACTAACCTGCTTCCCAGCTCCGTTCTCCTGTGCAGGGCAACCAAAGAAGACCCAGCCAATCAGCTGGGACTCAATGGGAGGCAGAGAAGAGATGGGGTTGGCGGGGCCAGTCCGAGGTGGGATTTGCTGGTTCTCCAAACTACTCAAAATGTCCGCTACCGGTTCTCCAGAATTGGTCAGAACTGGCTGAATAACCACCTCTGCTTCCAACGCTATTATTCCACGTTCTAAAATCCCACTCTCAACCAGAACTGCTCCCATTCAGCCTAGGGAGCCTTTATCCACGCAGAATACATTGAGAAACCAACATTCCCTGGAAAAAGTCATTCCATGCTTAGAGCTCCCAATTCATTCCCTCCAGGGTATTATTATTATTTTTTTCATACTGAAAATTGGCTGTCAAAGATTGAGGAGTTTTCCAAAGAGACAGACTTTCTTCTCCTCAGTTCTGAAACCCTGAAATCATCTGCCTTACTTTTGATAGTTCTTGTTCTGTTAGATTTGGATCCTTCCTACAATGAAATTCTAAAGCTATGATGACCTGCAGTTCTCCAAGACAGATACAGCAATACAGCATAGTAAAAGCATAGACCCTACCTTCAGATGATGCCGTTTCCTCTTCACAGCACAGATCAGTGAATGGGAAATGCGGTCCCCTTTCTAAAATCCAACCCTACCATTTATTTCAACACACCTATATAATCAAACTGCAGATTCCCTAACCCTTTCGGTAAGTTATCCAGAAGTCTGGACTGATCTACTTTCTGACCACTTCCATTTTCCATCACACAAAACCAGAGGCTTTCTTTCAAAAACAAATCATATGCTTAATTTGCTTATACATACATCTATCTGCAGTACCGAAATTTAGGAGGTGGTTCATATAGCCTTCTCTTCCTCTCTGGTATTTCTCAATAGCCGCCAAACTCCAAATCCTCCCAAGGACGAATGCATTGATACCCCCACCCACACAATGAATAATTTCCTTTCCCGTATCGTAGAAGGGGAAAGCTCGGGCTTTGAATCTTAGCAAACTGCAAATATTCCTTGTCAGCATCCTCATGACGCATAAGGCACATTAAATGCATGCCGCTTCTGACGGATCAGCATGTGGTTATGAGGACAGATGATGGTATGGTGATTATAAGGGAGTTGCCCAATTGCTCTGCTATCTATTCCTCACATTTCAACCCGCTAGGAAAGGAGAAGTAGTAAGATAGCAAAGGACAGGCTAGGTCAAAGGGAAAATCTGTAACTGAATTCCCAGTTTATTTATTTATTTTTTTAAACAAAAGCACATTTTTTTCCTTCTTGTTAGCCCACTGCATACTGGCAAGATAGAAAGACACCAAGCCAGTCAAGGAGATTTCATCCTTCCATTCCTAGTTTGACAATCCTGGGGGGAAAAAATGTGAAAGCTCCCCCAAAGCCCCAACATTTCCATTGTTAAGCAAGACAATTGTTACGTCAGGTTTTCCCCATTTTTTTACAACCTTTCTTAGCCTTTAGGGCACCATAAGAATATTTTGTTGTTTTTCTAGCTTAGATCACTCCGCTATTTTAAGACCTGGTTTTCACAGCTACCTCTTGACATTTCTAAGATATTTCTCACATGGAGTGACAAAGACCTTGAAATGAGGGAGGAAAACAACAGCCTGAACCTATTAAAGGTAATAATGGATAAGTATTTTGTTTAGATTTTCTACCTAGGCCTTTTCCTCTTCTGTTAAGGATTTCTTTTCTGATTGGTTTATTTTTTAAAAAGAACTACAGAACTGAATTCTGCTTTTCTAAAGGAGTTAATTCAGTGGACAAAGAGATTATAGTTACCTTTATATCTGGCCATCTTCTGCTATCTAAGGCAGCCTACGAGCCAAGTCTCTCTTCGTTTTATACCCATGCCTCCAATGAAATTGCACAGGAGGTTCTGTGGAGAGACACACCATGCCTATTGTTTGCCTACATTTCTTTAAACATTAATGCATGTGGGTAGGATTCCCACACTCCAGTAAGTTATCTGACTAATTCTTCCCTTCTCATTTAGTCATGCAATTTTGGAACTAACTCAAACAAAACAAGAATAAAACTAGAATTACGTGGAGGAGTTATTTACACTTCTTCTACTCAGCTATAGAGATCCTCAGACATCCAGGTCATGGTTGTCCCAAAGGTATTTTTCCAAAAGGCAACTGGACTTTTTTTCGTTTGCTTTTCCTTGAAGATGTTTTGCTTCCAATCCAAGAAGCTTCTTCAGTTCTGAGCAAAGAAGCTTCTTGGATGAGAAATGAAACATCTTCAAGGAAAAACAAAGAAAGTCTAGTTGCCTTTTGGAAAAAAAATAAAGCATCTTTGGGACCCTTTCTACTCACCTCTTAGAATATTTACTGTTACACTCTTGCTTACTTTTCAGTCCCCCCGCCTCCTCTGGGGAGGGCAGTTACTATCCATTTTTAGTTTTGAGAAACATTACTTGGAATTCTCTGGAAATAAAGATGACTCTCAAAGCTGCAAATAGTTTTATAGCATGTTGGGGATCTGGATTTCTTAGAAACTCTCCCTTGGAAAAAAAATTGGGCTGAACCTCCTGAATTCTCTTTCTGTCTTACCAGGGGTGAACTATAGGAAAAGGGGCTGAAAAATGAGAAAATTTGATATCAGTCCTAGTGTTGATAAAGCATTAACAATTCATGAGCTTAGGTTGTACAATAAGCTAACTATGATAAAATAAAGGGTTAAAAGGTTACGTAAGGTTAGAAACTGGCAAAGTACGCATGAACAAGATGTTCCAAATTATGAAGAGATAGTGAAGTCCTAAACATGTTTTTCTTGATAAAATTCTTGTACATTCTACTGGCAAAGTACATTTGTGGAAAAGCATATCTTGATCAGATCGCCAATGACCAGACTTTGATGAATAGTTATGGCACTGAGACATCTTAGAGGCATTGGATCATCCTAGACAAGGATGATCCAGCTAAGTCCAAAAATACTAGAGAAATCCTGGAAGCAGGATTTCTGATAAATGAGCCATCAACAGGCACATAGAGATGAACAACATCTACATACCATTCAAAAGAGATAACCAAAAAGAGCAAAAAGAAACAAAATAACCAAAATACTTCATCACCAGCAATTAACACCCAGATAATTACCATTGATTAACACCAAGATTAACACTTGACCAACAACCAAGCTGTAAAGAACATGCCAATCAAGAAACTACCAACTTAGGCAACAAACAAGCAGTAAACCACAGCCTAATCACCAAGATCATTCCCACCAACATCGATAGGGTAATCCACTTGTATGTAAACAGACAGCAATCCTACACCCTTCTAGCACTAATGATATTACCTAGTCAGGTAATGAAATATCTGCAAGAGAACAACCAAGCTCAGAGAGCACCAAGGTCTCCACAGACACTGGGGTAATCCAGTATTATTATTATTATTATTATTATTATTATTATTATTATTATTATTA